CTGTGCGAGTTTGAGTTCAACATTGGCAATACCCAACAACATCAACAACAAGCTCGGTGAGGTGAGCATATAGCGTATCTTCGATACCAAACCCTCACGCAACTACTACTCCTGCTGCTGCGCTCTCTCTCTCTCTCTCTCTCTCTCCATCGCGATGGGTGTCCACCTGGCGTCCGGCAGGCTTAGCCTGGCTGCTCGCAGCAGCACCATATTTAATGGTCCGCAAAGGTATCGCCCCTGAGGGCCCAGCATGTCGATCTAAGGCCCGAGCCGAAGCTCCAAGCGGCCTATAGCATTAACATGAGTATCTGTACAACTCAAGGTGAGTCATTCGCCGGTATCAGCAGACAAGAGAAATCACGCATGACCTTGGTTCAAGATAGCATATCACCATGTGAGCAGCATCGCCTAATGTCAGGCACAATGACCGTCATTCATACGGACCATTTTCTCACTCTTCAAGACTGAGAGTCAAAACTCAAAGCCATCCATCTGAGCACTTGGTCCTCGTCACTCGAATGCTGTTGCACCATGTTCGATGTGTAGGCGTAGTCCCTAGGATAGAATCCCATACCCAATAGCAAACGCATGTCCGCTGATGGGGTACGATCTGCGTTACGAACATGAAAAGCAATCAAGATCAGTCTTTGTCCTCTCCATGGCATAGTGGCATTTTGTTTGTTTGGCTGAAAAAGGCACGGCTGTTGCGTACTGTGAAGAAAACCCCGCTTCCCATCCATGGCCAATGAAAAGTCTCCTTGATCGTGTTCCAGCCACAATTCTCCATGCTCAAGAGACGAAAACGGCAACACCAGATTCCATGACGCAGCGTCATTGTGCACGTCCTTATGCGCAACGGCCATGACGTTGCGCGCCATGGTGATCGAAGTGAACGTGTGTCCTGGAGCTATGTTTCGAACGACTGAGCAAAGCAGGCACGTAAACCATGGTAGGGCCTTAGTTCCCTTTCTCATTCCATGAAAAGAAGCTCTGGCAAAGGCACCAACCACAACAGTCTTCGGTGCTTGAAGTTCTTCGTTCGTGCTAGTGGTAGCACTACCTCGTGCCATGGTACATTCTGGAAGCACCTCAAACCACTCTTGCATCTGCCTCCACGTCACGTAACCATGATCAATCGCCTTGGCCGCCTCTTTGTCTATCGGGTGCACTGGTGATTCCGTAGGGATGCAGAATGAGTCGATCCCGTATGCCCCCCAATGAAAGTCGTGGATCCTGCACTGCGGGTCATTCTCCGGTGCTGGCGCCGCTCTAGCATCCTTTCTGCCACCCTAGAAAACTCCTCAGGAAACAATCCAATCCGTCTAGCATCTGCTTGAGAGACACCTGTAAAGGCATGGAACTGAGCAGGTGACATTTCATACGGATGGATGCCATGCTGAGCTTCAAAAGCCTGCGCGGTGCGCATCACCTAGCAACGTAGACATCACGGGGCACCTGCTTCACTCATTCGGATGGCTGCAGCACATTTGATCAAGGCATTCAGCAATGAGAGGCATGAAGAGTCCACCCAGTGAGCCAGCAGCGAAGTGAGCACCCGACCGTAGATGCACTGGTCCCGCACATTGTGTACAGCCTCCGCCTGAGCACCTGAGCATTGTCAGCAGCACATGCCTATAGAATGGATCCTCATCTGCATGTGCATCTGTATCCAGGAAAAACATATACACTGTTTGCGACGTCTTATTGAACTCTGCACGATGCACAATGCTTGCTGCTTGCTCATAGCCACAAAGCCGTAGAGCTGCGATTGAAACATGAAGACATGCCCCGAAATGCGCCGAGCTTGTCTGTGCACCACTGCTGTGACAGAGGAGACTGTCAAGACCCCAGACGACACCGCCCCGTACAGCAAAGCATATCGCCTAAGTTGCGCAAAATCTGTGCGCGCAGCCACGCGTGCACTCGCTGCTCAAGCTGGACCCTGCTCATCCAAGGTAGGAGGAGGCAATCTGGTTTGCCAGGGTGGAACGCTGAAGACGATCATGCTTTAAGCCCATGCCGATGATCTGCGTGGCCGACAGCCCGCACAACTTGCCCACGCAGTCGCAAAGCTTCTCTGCATGGTCATTGTGTTGACCGAGCTGCATCAAAAAGGTGATCATCTCACCTCTCATTTCTTGGGCCAGCGGTCTTGTGGGATGAAATCGAGCAACTGCGTACTGATGGGAGGCTGCACGTAGGATGTCGTGCACAATGGCAAGGATGTCCTGTGTCTTCAATCCCGGTCTTTCCTCGTCCCTCATGAGCTGCTTCGTTTCGGCGTTCCAGCGCAAGTAGCACCAGGTGGTCGAATCATCGTACCATTTGAGCTCCTTGAGCTTGTCAATCTGATCCGCCTGCACGTTGGCAACTCGGGTGCGAAGTTCCAAGAAGACGCAGATGATGAGCGTCGCCCTCAGAGGCTTGTCCAGCGTCTCCGGGCTGGCTTCCTTGGCCTGTTTCCAGCCGTTGGCTGTTTTGAAGATACCTGCCACTATTGACTCCGCTGTTGCAATGCGAAGTGGGCCACATAGCTGGTTTCAATGCCAAGTTGATGGCGTCCTCATGGCGAAGGATGAGTCTTTGCAGCTGTGCAATGTACGCCTTAAGGGATTCGATGTCATTGCAATCCTCCATCTTCCACTCCGTCTGGGAATTGCAGCCCCAGCCGCCGCCCCATGTGGAGGACGGCTGCCATCCCCTCTTTGCTCGGCCATAACCTCCACCACCACCGTTGTGGCCCTTCCCTTGGGCACCAGTCCTGGCAGCTTTGGCATCCCGGCCTTGCTCATCCGAGGGGGGTTCTGCATTCGAGGCACGTGCTTTGATCCCGGACGGCATGCAGGTGTCAAACAAACAAAGCTCCGCCTGGCTCACTTCGTCAATTGTCATTGCTCCAACGAAGAGGGCTCGTCTCACTCGCTCGCCTGATCCAGACTGCGTACATGTTCCGATGATGGATGCTGCGAATATTCTGTGAGACTGCCTCAACATTATCGTCCGTTATGTACCACTGGTCTGTGTTTCTGAGCATCGAGCGATAGTGCCTCATACAAGACCCATCTGATTTCAAGCCCACTCTCGAACACTGGCATCATGATGTTATCTTGGAATCGCACGACCTCAACATTCTTGATGCCACCATTGTGCCTATCAATCTGAAGGAAGGTGAGTTCCGGCTCCTCAATGAGTGCAGGTACACGCGCCTGAGCGTGCCATGCCTGCACCGCATCCTGAAGATTGCCTAGATAGTCTAGAGCAGGTAGCGTGATGGGAGCACTTCCTGACGCATGTTGCTGGACTTGATGATCCTGGAAAGAGCGCGCTGCCCACCTGCCGTGAGACCGTCCAATGCCTTCAAAGAGAAAGTTGGTAAACTCCACCGCGTCCTGCTGCTCCATATTGAACGGCCACCGGGGGACACAACACCGCATAGCACACTGGGACTTTAGAGTGATGGGCCTGCGTCCTGGGAGGCACGCCAGCACGCACGATGAAGTGAGCGCATTCCTGGTGGGATGTCAGTAGTTCGCGAAAAGATAGAAAGGATGGCACACACAGCAGCATTTGCGTAACAGTGATTGCCTGGGTTGTCAAGCTTCAGCTGTAGGATCCAGTTTCCCGGAATGAGACCTGAAGCAGAATCGCCCGGATACTGAGAGACCGTGTCTGAAGCTCCAACCTGTACCATCTGTCTTGAGGCACTCAAGGCGCCTGCAGTAGAAGCCTGAAAGGGGGTGTCTGACCCAGAACTGCTGTTAGGGAGCACTGCTTCAAAGATCGGGTGCCTTCACTGTTCGTTGCCTGGCCCTCTTCAGCGACGTTGTAGCGGACGACTCTGAAGGCATCCTCTGCTCATGTGCAGCTAGGAACTGAAAGATGGAGGGGCATTTCACTGCGTGATCCTTGCTGTCCTTTGCTTTGCTGCCACAAAACTGACACGGCCTGGTAAAAAGTGCACTCAAGCTCTGAGCTCCGGAGCGCGCAGCTTGTTTGCTGAGTCCCCAGATTGTTGCGTGCTGGTGCCGCCAGTGGATCTTGATCTTGGAGCTGTGCTGAACCCGTTGTGCGCAAAGAACACATTGTTTGGCGAGGCGAGACATCTGAGATCGGAGCCACGCGTACGCAGGATGTCAATGGGCTCTTTAAGCATCTCCCGGACCTGCTGCAAGGACTGCATCTCCAGCATGTCATGTGGTGGTTGCGGTGGATCTAAAGCTTCACGCTCCGCAACGATGACAAGGAGAGCCTCCGGCGAGCAACCACCCGCCACCTGCTCCTTGATCCAGCCACGATTACCCAGACGAATATGCTTTGACAACGAGCTCCAGTCATGCAGACGCGTGTGGCAAAATCTACACATTGGAATTCCATGCAAAGAATGAACCGCACGATCAAAGGGGATCCTGGCCAGATTCGCAAGCTCGGGATGCTTGGAACGAAGATGTTGCGCTAGACCTTCCCGAGTTCCAAAGCTGAGTCCACACTCTGGGCAATCAACTGCACAGATCTCGGCCTTCCGCACTGAAATAATATGTAGCCCTTGCGGCTGGGCTCGAATGGCATTGACCTGATCTACAATGTGATCGACGCGTTTCAACTCTAGTTGCTTGAGGCCAGTGCTCCGACCATCGTCCCGATGGACCGCTTTCTGTAGACGGGTGGCACCTGTAGGAATGATGTGGATCGTGTCAATGCCCGCTTTAGCCAGAACCTCTTCGTTAGTGATGCCATGCTCGCACACTCGTAGAATTTTACTTTACGCGTGTGACCAGCCACAGTTGAGGAGATCTTCTTAAGCACTTCCGCCGTGAGTCCAATGCCAACACGTCCATATGTGACCGAGCTGAGAATGATGGCTCGGCACAACCTGATCCGGTGGCCTGTGTTCAACGCGCTGCGGGAACGAAGAGGAAGTCGAAGCTGCCTAAAGGTATTGTCCGCTTTATTTGCACGATGGATCACAATGTGCCCCTCAAAATTCGCATATGACAGGATAGTGCCCAGATATTCAAGTCGCTCTACACAAGGGAGGTAATAGTCACGCTCAGCTTGTATCCGAAGACATTTGGTGCCGTGCTGCTGCCTGAAGAACTTCTGCTGCATCTTGGCGGCCTGGTGACCTCGGAGCTGAAACACTACCCTGGACTTAGTGTAGTTGATGGTGAGCCCCATAGAGTGGAGCACCTCAATGCGCGTTTTGATATGCTGTAGCTCTGCTTCTGCTCGTATTGTCCAGTAGCCATGTGTATCGTCCGCGAAGATACTGAGATGCCGACGCGACCAACCGCAGCCGAGCTTGGAGTTTAGCACCCGACACAGCCTCACCGTCCAACATGCGTATATGATCGGGGCAACAGGGCACCCTTGGCGTAATCCTCGCCGCATCTGGACCGTGCTGCGCTGTTTGCCGTGATCAATGAGACACTGCGTGCTACAATGAATGTTGACAAGGAGCACCGCAAGGTTTTCAGGGGTCCTACTTCAAGGAGCGACTCGTACAGCTCATGATGGGGAACCGAATCAAAAGCTTTCGCTAGGTCCAAGCTGCACATTAATCCCCCCACCAGCGCAACCTGTTGCTCCTCCAGAATTTTGCTGGTGTAATCTTGCTGGTGTTGCTCAAGTAGGGCCGATATGCATACTTTGGAGTGCCCACCAGACCTGACCTGATGTATGGAAACACTTTCATCGAAGATGAAATGT